GTGTGCACCCGGTGGAAAGGTGCAGCCCCACTCCAGGACACCTGGCGTATGAGCTGAGATCTGGCAGGATTTAGCCCCACCCCCATCCCTCAGCCAAGGGGCCTTGGGAACAAGTATATATAGCTTTGTATTTGTCACTTTGAAATTAAACTAATTTCTGGCTCCATTCTCTGCTTCCAGGTCCCCATCTCCTACCCCTACTTCTAACTTGGAATCTTTTGCTATCTTTTATGTATCCTTATAAGGATATCTTAAATCAGTTTAGAAAGAGGCAGTACCTTCTTTAAATATGCAACTAGATGGTAGCACTTAATGAATATTGCCGTTTCCTTCACCACCACCATACCCTATAAATTCAGATTACTAGGATAATTACCTTTAAATGATCACGCTTCTGTTTCTGTGAATCCCTCTCTTTGATTGACCTTCAGTGTTTGGTCTGCATTTTAGGCTTAAAGTGTGAAATAGACATTGATGAATGCAGCTCGCTGCCATGCCTCAACAATGGAATTTGTAGAGACAGAGTTGGGGAGTTCGTCTGTGAATGCCCACCTGGTTACACAGGTAAGGGGAAAATTCTTTGTTTTTATAATATAAACCTTGGAATCATTAAAATTTCATTACTGAAGATCAAAACCACAATGAGATATAATCTCACCCCTATTAGAATGGCTATTATCAAAAAGACAAGAGACAATAGTACTGGCAAGGACATGGAGAAAAGGGAACCCTGTGCACTGTTAGTGGGGATGTAAACTGGTGCAGCCACTATGGAATACGGTATGGAGCTTCCTCAAACAATTAAAAATAGAACTACCATGATCCAGCAGTGCCACTTCTGGGTATCTATCTGAAGGAAAGGAAATCACTATCTCAAAGAGATATCTGCACCCCTGTGTTCACTGCAGCATTATTCACAATAGCCAAAATATGAAAACAACCTAAGTGTACATCAAGGGATGAATGGATAAAGAAAATATGATATATATTGCTTATACATACACACACTGGAATATTATTCAGCCATAAAAGAGAAGGAAATCCTGCCATTTGCAACAACATGTATGAAACTTGAGGGCATTATGCTACATGAGATAAGTCAGATAAAGACATATACTGTATGTTCTCAATTATATGTGGAATCTAAAAAAGCCAAACTCATAAAAACAGAGAGTAGAATGGTGGTTGCCAGGGCCTGGAGGGTGGGGGTATTGGGGATATGTTGTTTAAGGGTACAGATCTGCTACTAGTAGATAGTTCAGTCATATTTAAGGACTCCAGGAATAAACTCAACAAAGGGGTGAACAACTAGCAAACAAATAATACAATAAAATTTTTTAAACAAAATCACACATCTTCTTAATTTAAAAAATGGCTAGATGTTCATCGTTGTCACTTTCTATTGCACGCTGAAAATGTCAGATTGCTTGCTAACAAATTTTTGCAGTTCATAAAATGGAAGAAAACATTGTATTTCAATATATTTGGCAAAGAGCAAAATTTTTCACAAACATGTTAGTCATGATTTCTAGTTGTTCGGTTCTTATACCCCCAACTTGCTTGAAAACTGTTAGTCTTATATTCCTTTCAAATATTCTGTGATTCTTTGCAGGTCAACTGTGTGAAGAAAATATAAATGAGTGTAGCTCCAATCCTTGTTTAAATAAAGGAACCTGCGTGGATGGCTTGGCTGGCTATCGCTGCACATGCGTGAAAGGATACATAGGTGAGATATTTCCATTCTTCCTACATTTTCTTAAAGTTCTGTAAAGCACTACAGATTATTACATTTACTAACATTACGTATGTTAACATTCCTTTTCTGATTTTATAACTATGCTATGATTATATAAGAGAAAGTCCTTATTTTTTAAGAAATTTACACTGAAGTATTTAGAGGTAAAAGGGCATCAGATCTACAATTTACTCTCCAACAGTCCAAAAAAAATAATGTGTGTGTGTGTGTGTGTGTGTGGAGAGAGAGAGAGAAACAGAAAGAGACAGAGAAGATAAGAGCTTATATACTAAGACAAACATTTGAGAAGGGATTGAAGATATAAATCATGTAAGATCGTATTGCAAATGGAGGCAAAATTAATATGGCTAAAAAAAGATATACTTAATTGATAAGGAGGAAATCCAAGAAAGAATATGGCCAGTGGAGAAAAGAGGCAAAGTTGAAGAAACAGGAAAATTTTGAACTAAATTTGCTAGTTTTATTTTTTAACGTTAGTTAGATGTCCATTACTAATCTTAGTTTCAGAAAGAGGTAAGATAAAAAGAGCAGATTATCAAGGGGCGGCCCCGTGGCATAGTGGTTAAGTTCAACACGCTCTGCTTTGACAGCCCAGGTTCATGGGTTCGGATCCTGGGCGCGGACCTACACCACTCATCAGCCATGCTGTGGCGGTGACCCGCATACAAAATAGAGGAAGATGGGCACAATTGTTAGCTCAGGGCTAATCTTCCTTGAGCACAAAAAGAGCGAGGTTGGAAACGGATGTTAGCTCAGGGCAAATCTTCCTCAGCAAAAAAAAAAAAAAAAAAAGAGCAGATTATCAAAATGCAGAGACCTAAAATGACTTACAAAAGCTAGTGCTCATTAAAGAATGGATCTCAAACCAGTTTGATAGGCCAGTGGCTCTGCAGCCTCCATTCCAGTCCTTTAGAAGCAGCATCCTCCAAGAAGTCAGCAGTTGGATCACAGTTTTCCCAAGGGATTAACATTTGGGCTCTTTCTCTTCCTCGTCCATCCCCAGGCCCGCACTGCGAAACAGAAGTCAATGAATGCCAGTCAAGTCCGTGCTTAAATAATGCAGTCTGTGAAGACCAGGTTGGGGGGTTCTTGTGCAAATGCCTGCCTGGATTTTTGGGTACCCGGTGTGAAAAAAACATAGATGAGTGTCTCAGTCAACCATGCAAAAATGGAGCTACCTGTAAAGATGGTGCCAATAGCTTCAGGTAAAAGACTAAGTCTGGTTCTTTCCACTATTTCTATTTTCTTAACTATCTAGTGATCCTGCAGTCTTTGTAGAGTATTATTTTGAGTCCCAAGTCAGTCATTCCTAAATGCTGTCCCAAGAATAGGCTGCAGTAGAATCTCCCCACCACCTGAGATTCTGATTCACTAAGTCTAAGGTAGAGTCTGTAATTTTAAAATAGGCAACCTGTATGCTTCAAGTTCCCCAGTGATTCTGATGCACAGCCAGGTTTGAGAACCACTGTTCTGTCCTTGGGAAGTCATAAAAGATGAAAGGAAATACAATTACACAGAAGCACTAGACAGAAGTCATATTTTTAAATGTTTTATATTTTAGCTGAAGTGTTCACAGTAGCTAAAATCAAAAGGAATTGTGCGATCATACTTTCACAGTGCCAATTTACATTCTATGTTCATGGTTTTCAAACATTTTTCTTAGTTTAGTTTGGTTTGGGTCAAAAGAAATCTAACATGACTGTAAACAAAATAATAAAAGCTAAGTTTTTGTGGTTGAAAATAGTAGTGTTTGGTGGGGGAGAAAGACAGTGTTTTCCTGAGGCAGCTCTTCGGATGCCAGTAGAGTATGGTTTGAAAACCAGCATTCTCTGTCATCACTATGAAGTCTGCACTATGCCATCCTCTTCCCCTTGCAGGATCAGTGGCTCCTGCAGCATATAAGACAGTCTGGTCTTGCTTGCAGAATCTTAGGAAACATTATTGTCCTTAATATGCTGTTGGGTCGATAAGTTTACAAAAGTTAAAAGAAAAAAGTCTACCCCAGTTGCAACACTTCCCAGTCCCATTCTAGTTCAGCCCCCTTCCATTACCGTTCCCCAACAAGGCTTTTTATCCTCAGTATTGGAAATGAGGTCTTATCAGTGTAGCATCATTTTCCCATGGGCTCTTGACATCTTCTGACATATAGCACCTAACCGTAGGCAATGAGAAATTTCCAGATGAATAACAAGAGTTCCCAGTTCTCCCCAGGGTCCAAAATAATTGATGAATACCAAATTTCTCTAAATCCTAACTAGTGGAAAGATGAAGGTAAACCCTCCTAATTCAAAAGGAATGTAAGTTGTCACCAAAGTGAACT